TGTTAGATTAGTTTAATTGATATTAAAGAAATTTCTTGGTATTCCTAAACGGAAGATTTTATACACACAGAAGAGAAGAAGTATACTTAATAACAAAATTATTTTCATTTACCTGTGTATAATATGACGCAGGTTTTTTCAAAAGTGATGATTTTCTAAATATTGTTTAACATTTCACAGTGGTATCATACTTTAACTTCGTTTCAACCTGTTTATTTACTTTTGACCTTAGTAATTTATCCCTTATAATTTTTATTAACTATGTATTTGCATTCAGGTATCACAGATCAAAGTTATTCGTTCATTGTGTGTTAATTTACGTTTTTGATTGAGTTAAGCCTTCCAATTGATATTTTATAGCGTGTCTTTCTATGTTGTGATGTTATACTATCGTTTCAGAAAAAGGGAGAAGGTTTGGTACCATTAAAACGTTTAATCCCGCTGCAAATGTTTGCACCTGTTCTTAGTCAGGAATCTAATGTACAGTAGTTGTCGTCTGTTTATGTAGTTCATACGTGTTTCTCGTTTTTATATAGATTAGACCGTTTGTTTTCCCTTTTGAATGGTTTTACACTAGTAATTGTTGGGGCCCTTTATAGCTTGCTGTTCGGTGTGAGCCAATGCTCCGTGTTGAAGGCCGTACCTTAACCTATAATGGTTTACTTTTATAAATTGTTACTTGGATGGAGAGTTGTCTCATTGGCACTCATACCACATCTTCCTATATCTATAAAACAAAAGCTTTATATGTCTCTTCATATTTTATAGAAAAGGTTATATAATTGTGGATCAGAAAGTATACACAAACGAAAATAGTGTGGGATCATTGCTTAAAGCTTGTATAAATTTATTTTGAATACCATTTAAGATATTTGAATAATGGTCGAAAGTTCTAGTATCTTTTATGTACATAATGCAATGTGAACATGATATCATGTATATACAAATTCATCTAACCGAAAACTTTATTTATTTCATAATATTGTTTTCAATCCGACCAGAAATTACTTCCTTTATTCATATTGTTTTATTTTAATTTTAAAAGTGATATAATGTGTAAGTGTTGATAATTATATTATGATTATTGTGAAAGTTTGGTTTCAATGCCATATTAAACTCATTTTGGATTTCAAATTGATGTTCAAATTTCTAGCCAAGGGAAATAGCTGTTGTTAAAAATAAATCCTAAATTGATGAAATACAATAGATAGATACAGAAATAGGTATTATGATAATCTGATGTTCAGTAGTTGTCGTTTGTTGATGTGGTTCATAAGTGTTTCTCGTTTTTTTATATAGATTATACCGTTGGTTTTCCCGTTTGAATGGTTTTAAACTAGTAATTTTTGGGGCCCTTTATAGCTCGCTGTTCGGTGTGAGCCAAGGCTCCGTGTTGAAGACCGTACTTTGACCTATAATGGTTTACTTTTATAAATTTTGACTTGGATGGAGAGTTGTCTCATTGGCACTTTATGGGATAACAGGTAAAACAAATGAGTGGATAAAGAACTTCCTCAGTGATAGAACACAGTCAGTAGTGGTGGAAGGTGAAACATTAATTTCCATACCTGTAGAGTCAGGCGTAACACAAGTATCTGTCTTAAGACCTAGTCTATTTCTATTTTATATAAACGACATGCCCCAGGGAATTCAATCAACTGTACGACTGTTTGCTGATGACACTATTGCCTATGTTACAATCTCATCAATTGCAGATTCAGCAAACCTTCAAAGGAACCTTGACAAACTAGCTGAATGGGAGTCGAAATGGCTCATGAAGTTCCATCCTGATAAATTTAACGTACTCACCATCTCCAAAAAGCGAACTCCAGCTAAATACAGTTAAACACTACATGACCATAACCATGCTAAATACATGGGATGCACCATTGCATTAGACCTAAAATGGGGTAAACATATAAGCACAATCTGCTGCAAAGCAAATAATACCATCAGTTTTCTGCAATGGGCATATCAATACCCACGTTACATCAATTTTGAAAGACCCAAATGTTGCAAAACACTTGTCCTACCTCCATGACAAATATGTTGTTGTCCCCGCAGATAAAGCCCCAAACAACATCGTTTTTGTTTGTAAATATCATTACATAAACTGCTTGATAAATGAATTAGGTATTGACAATTCACTTGGAAACTCAACATATACCCTCACGACACTTACCAAAGAGGAAATCCTGGATAATCATAGGTCTGTTCTATGTTCCTTTGGAATTTCAACCAAAGATGAAGAACTGGATCTTCCATCAATGTATTGGATACCTAAACTACATAAGTGTCCTTACAAACAACGGTATATTGTTGGGTCTTCCAAGTGCTCCACGAAACCTCTTTCTAAATTATTAACATCTATTTTATCAGCAATCAAAGCCGGGCTCCAAAGTTATTGTGAAACTGCCTATTCTAGAGGTGGCGTGAATCAGATGTGGATACTAAAAAATTCCAAAGATATTTTAGAGTACATACAATCTAAGACTCTCTCATCTTGCAATAGTATTAAAACATTTGACTTTTCTACACTTTACACAAGTATTCCCCATTCCAATCTAAAAGACAAATTGAAAGAGTTGGTATTACTTTGTTTCATTAAAAAGAATGGCGAACGTAGATACAAGTATCTTGTCTTGGGGAGGGATGAATCCAACTTTGTAAAGAATCACTCTGATTTTAACAAAAAATTCTCTGAAACTGACATTATCAAGATGCTTGATTTCTTGATTGACAACATATTTGTTATGTTTGAAGGACATGTTTTTCAACAGACTGTCGGAATTCCAATGGGAACCATTTGTGCCCCTCTTCTTGCCTCGACTTGTTTCTTTATTATTATGAGGCTGACTTCATACAGGAACTTCTTAGGAAGAAAGATAAGAAGTTAGCAATATCCTTTAACTCTACGTTCCGCTATATAGATGATGTTCTCTCACTAAATAATACAAAATTTGGTGACTATGTTGAACGAATCTATCCCATCGAACTAGAGATAAAGGATACTACAGATACAGTTAAGTCTGCCTCATATCTTGACTTACATCTAGAAATTGACAATGAGGGTCGGTTGAAAACAAAACTTTACGACAAAAGAGATGATTTCAGCTTCCCTATTGTGAACTTTCCATTTCTATGTAGCAACATTCCAGCAGCGCCTGCATACGGAGTATATATCTCCCAATTGATACGATATTCCCGGGCTTGTGTTTCCTATCATGATTTCCTTGATAGAGGATTGCTGCTCACAAGGAAGCTATTAAGCCAAGAGTTCCAAATGGTGAAGTTGAAATCATCCCTTCGTAAATTTTACGGACGCCATCACGAGTTGGTTGACCGTTATGGAATAACCGTTTCACAGATGATATCGGATATGTTCCTTATGTCGTAACTACAATACCCTTCCCTTTTCACGAATGTGACTTACCGAATTAGACTATTTACCGGATTTGTAATAACATAAGCAACACGACGGGTGCCACATGTGGAGCAGGATCTGCTTACCCTTTCGGAGCACCTGAGATCACCCCCAGTTTTTGGTGGGGTTCGTGTTGCTTAGTCTTTAGTTTTCTATGTTGTGTCATCTGTACTATTATTTGTCTGTTTGTCTTTTTATTTTTGGCCATGGCGTTGTCAGTTTTTTTTTTCGATCTATGAGTTTGACTGTCCCTCTGGTATCTTTCGTCTCCCTTTCTGAAAAGGAACTTAAACATCTCCAATAAGTCTATAAAGGAAAAAGCATATATGTCCCTTGTCAGACCAACATTGGAATATGCCAGTGCAGTATGGGACCCGTACCAACAAAATGATATCCATAGATTGGAAATGGTTCAAAGAAAGGCAGTAAAGTATGTTACTAACAGATATCACAACACTTGATATGTTAGTAACATGCTTGAACATCTAAAATGGACTTCCCTACAAGAACGAAGAAAACAGACCCGATTGTTAATGATATATAAGCTTAATAACAATTATGTGAAAATTGATACATCAAATAAGCTGATACCAAATGAACGCAATTCCACAAATTACAACGAAAAATGCAAAACAACAGTTCAGAAGGAGTCATTCTATCCTAGAACAATCAGAGAGTGGAACATTTAACCCAACTGTAAGGTCTCTACCCCGAGTCCTGAATCTTTCATGGATCAGCTCCGTCAGTAAATTTAATGACATGTTTTTATTTGCACCTGTATATAAATTTCACTCAGTTTTTGTTCTTGTTATTAAATTTCAAATTTGTTTTCATGCTCGCACTCCAAAAAATGTGGCAGGATAGTCAACCAGTTGACGATGGCCACGTGGAAGAAGAAAATCATAAATCCATTTTAATATTCTTGTCATGATTAGAAAAATATAAAATACCACCACTACAAACTCAATCTCAATTTTATACTTTTGTACGTCTAATCTATCTTATTCTTAGAAAATCACCTGTGGTAATTTACAAAACTTACGTCACTTTTTTTTGGGGGGTTGATCCATTCATGTGGCGCGCAGTTTATACTTCGTTTGTGGTGTCCTGGTGTGCTGTCGTAAATTCATGGGAGTGTCCGTTTTTATTCTGCGGTTTACATGTTTTAATGTACTATCATATTATTTACTTATGAATTTCTCTGTGCTGAGTGTTCTTGCGTTTGTTTGTAATGTATTCCTATCACGCATTGTTGTCATTTTAGCGGTATTTTTAATATTGACATATAAGCGGGAGGTTTGACTAGCCATAAAACCAGATTCAACCCACCATTTTTTCCTAAAATGTCCTGTACCAAGTCAGGAATATGACAGTTGTTATCAAATAGTCCGTTTCTATGTATGTTGACGTTTGTTTTTGTTGCAGTCATTGTTTCTGTTGTTCCGTTGTTTTCCTCTTATATATGATGTGTTTCCTTCGGTTTTAGTTTGTAACCTGGAATTGCTTCGTTTAATTGATTTATAACTATCAACCAGCGGTATACTACTTTTGTCCTTATCAATAAACAACAGAAAAATATCTATCACCAGCAATATTGTTAAATACTGGGTTTTCCAAAATCATTTGCAATCTGACACTTTAATGGCAATCCCAACTAAGCTGTCTTAGATTAACACTTAATTTCACAACGTCGTTAGATAAAAGGCTCTAATTCTTATTTCTATTAGAAACTTGATATTATTAGAAATAAACTGTCGGAACAATTCTTAAATGGAATCTTTGCAATGTGTGAGGAACACTACATATGCATGCTGTTCTTCATAACACTTCTTTTGAAAGGTTAGAGAAACAATAGGACGCGGAATTTCAGTTGAGGGTGCACTTCTCCAGAAGTTAACAAACGAAGTTAAAGACGAAAAAAAGATATATGGAATGAACGTTACTTACGAGCAATAATAAATATGTCGGCACCGAGTTTTGTGTGGGAAACAACAGAAATTCGACATTTCTGAATATACAATATAAGGAAAAAGCAGAGATCTTTGAGCATGATTCAATACTACTTTTTGAAATCATCTTAACTTTACAAGTTTAATTTCAGCAGATTATTCGAACAATTATTGGATCTTATACATGTATATGACTATTTTTTTTATGGCAAGAAAAGCCGAAAGGAATATATTATTTTAAGATAATGAATAATTTATATATTGTACTGGTATTAATGAAAAGTTTCCCAGGGAAATAGAAAGTGCGTTGATATTATTGTAAGCGTAAATATTTGATTTTCCGATATTTATAGTTTCTCAGGGAAATGTGTCTTAATGTATGGTTTCCCAGGAAAACAAATTGAAGACAACTTTAGTCAGCTGCACAAGAGCATCCAATATATATTCGTGAACCCTTCAGGATTCACGCAACAGAGAAATGTATTGCAAGCTGTCTTCTGTGGATTTGCTCCGTTCTGTGTAGCATGGGGCATGAGGATTTTGAAAATGTCTATCCTGACCTGGTAATAACTGAAAATAAATTATATAGATTATTTAAGACATGATGAAAATGAGTATTCTGCAAAACAAAATGCATGAAAACATTGTAATCTAAAGTGAAAAAAAGCATGAGTAGCAACAGATGTAAATGAATATTCAATTCGCAAAAACTTCTCCTGTCCACAACATGCACAATCAGAATATCAAATTTCGTCCCCTTGTCTGACTATGTATATCTGTCATAAAGCGTAATATAAATTATGCCGAATGGCGTATTATCAGACTAGTCTTTTTGTTGTACAAAGAGATTATCAAAGATTAGCTTCCATTCTAACTGATTTTAAAAATTAAATAATACTTTATTCTTTTTCACTAACTGATGTACTGTCATGTTTTGTACTTTCGTGTTGATTTGACATGTTGATACAATTTGTAATGTATTTTTGTTATTCAATGTTTACTTATTTTGTGTTATATCTCGTCTTACTATTTTAACTATATACCACTTTTGAAGTATTTAGTATGACGAACAATTTTCACTTCTGTTCTCGTACTATGAGCAACAAATTTATTTATTTTGTAAAAAATATTTCTGTACTCCATGTACTCCTTACAACAAAATTATTATATTTACCTGTGTACGTTATTTTATTTAACCCTTTTGGCCAACGTTATAGTTGTCTTTCTGATATTGTTTTACATCTCACCCCTTTTTTTTTTAATTAATATTGTATATACTATGTGTCATAGATCAAATGTATTCGTTCAGTGTATGTTTACTTGTTTTTGTTAATATGTCTTTTGATTGAGTTAAGCCATTTCAATTGATATTTTATAGTGTGTCTTTCTATGTTGTGATGTTACACTATTATTTCAGGTTAGGGTAAAGGTTTGTGCCTGTAAAAACGTTTAAACCTGCTGCATTTGTTTGCACCTGTCCTAAGTCAGGAACCTATTGTTCAGTGGTTGTCGTTTGTTGATGTGGTTCATAAGTGTTTTTCGTTTCTCATTTCTTATATAGATTAAACCGTTGGTTTTCCTGCTTGCATGGTTATACACTTGTCATTTATGAGACCCATTATAGCTTGCTGTCCGGTGTGAGCCAAGGCTCCATGTTGAAGGCCGTACTTTGACCAATAATGGTTTACTTTTACAAAGTGTGACTTGGATGGAGAGTTGTTTCTTTGCCACTCATACCACATCTTCTTATATCTATGAAACTAATTCTCAATTTATATCAAAATCGAATCTTTAAACTTATAAGGCAGCACAGTTTGTGCTAAAGATCACTTAATATTAAATTGCTAGACGTAATGTAATAAATATTTTGAATATTTCCCAGAAACTTGTGGATAAATTTTAACAAATTCCAACAAAATGCCGAAATATACAAAGATATTTTGGAACGCGGTTTGTACTAAGGTTCATTAAATCCATTATTTGTAAGAAATTTCTAACAAATATATAGCAGAAATCTATGATGTTTCAAAAATTGTTTTTATGTGGTCATAAAGCAACTATAGTTCTACGTATTTATGAATTACTGGCTTAAAACTAAAACTTAGTTTTGGCGTTACTTGTGAATGAAAATCCAAACAAGAGCGTTGAACGCAAAGAATCTATAATGTGTTACTTATAATTTGACCACAAAATGCAGTAATCTACCACCTAATCTAAGGGTTTAATAGTTTGAGGTAAAGTTTAATTTTATGTTATATAATATGAATATGAAAACGATCAAATATTTTTGTTTTCTAAAATCTTTGATTTGTATTCAATTTTTTGGTTTATTTACCCAAAAAAATACAGTTAAATTGAAATTGAAAAATGCCTGTACAAATTCAGGAATATGACAGTTGTGTTCCATTTGTTTGATATGTTTGAGCTTTTAATTTTGCAATTTGAAAAGAAAATTTCCTTTTTTCATTTTATTTGGAGTTCGGTAATTTTTTTTTATTTCCCTAATGAGAAACTTACAACTATTAAGAAATCCCTTGGATAATTTCTTTATTGATGAAACTTTATATTATATAAAATGTTTCTTTAAATTCAATTTTTTAGTAAAAAGACGAACAATGAATGATAACAGATGCTTCATTTATTGTTTTTGACGTTATGAACGTCAGAGCAATTATATATTTTTGTTCCCAAATAATAAAAAAAGATCTCAAGATACCTAGCAGGATCATGATTTAGTACGTCAGAAGGGCGTCGCATCTAAGACTCCTTAGAATCTGTTTCTCTAAACTTTATTAAATACATTTTCATTTTTGATAAACGAAAATCCCGTCGAGTGCCTTCTACATTCCACATGATCCACAAAGATGTCATTTTCATTAACACATGAGATTATCAGCAACCACACGTTGAGTAAATTTGTTTATACATTGGGTCCGGAAAGGGTTTAAATGCCAAAGAATTAGTGTTGAAAAAATCAATTAAACCCCGCTACATGTTTTTGATTCAGTTCAATGTCAATAATGTCGTGCATGTTAAGCTTTAAATTATCATAATTTGTTTTGTAAGTTAAAGTATCTAGTATTGATGATAGGTCTTTGATATTTTCTGGAGGCGATTAAATGATTGACATTTTAAATAGACACATGTAATTTGTTGAAAACATAATTCTGACCTTATTATGTTTTCATTTTTTCATTTTTTTGTATCTTATTGTTGCTTTCTTTGACGTCCATGTATAACAGCACCAGCCTTTTATTCATATTCGCTAGCTGGTGTGTAGAATTTGATAATCCATTTCTTTGATTTGGAACTGTCTGCTTACAGATATCTAGAAGTATTGATCAATGTGAGCCGATAAAGTTATGGAATGTATTGAATAATTTTGACAGACCGAAGGATAGAACACCGGTAAATCTTAATAAATATGATGATTTTTTCGAAAACATTAATACTGACAACGATCGAGACTATTTAGATTTTGAAATATAGGATTGCGATGACGAACGGGTTAATGTAATTTAAAACGGTGAGATCACTGAATATGAAATTTAGGCAGCTGCAAAAACGTTAAAGAACGGAAATATCGCCAGGATATGATATTGTCTTAAATGAATATATCAAAGCAACCATTCATTTCATGATGCTATTGTATCTTAAGTTATACATGTTATATCTAATATAATATTAGATTCTGGAGCCATTCTTAAGACCATGAGTATTATCTTACTCTTTTTAAAAACAAGGGAGACTCTTTTAATCCCATTTAGGTACAGGATCGTGTAAAAGTTTCTAATGTTCGCCATCTTCCGCCAGCTTTTACGAAATCATTCTTGAGCGCCAAGTTCACCAACATTATTTTGTATGTACTGTTCGCAAATTTTGTCTATATCTTTATTATTTGATGTTCTCAAATATTAATTCTAGATTTTAACAAAAAAAGTTTTGACCTTTAATGAAAATATTATTGTGGTGATCCAGGATTTTAAAGGGGAGCGGGGTGAATGCGCTTAAAGCACCTCCCCCCCATGAAATTTCACGTGATATATTAACAATGAATGTGTTATTTATGTGACTTCATCAGGCATGGTGTCCTCTTTTTTTACGTCATAATAGGATTTTTTTGTAAAACAATAGTAAGTTTCTTTATATACAGTAGGACAACCAGAAGCATCTGAGTGAAGATTTCGGTGCTCAGTGATATAAACGGTTAACTAGACGACGTTGTCATCACGTAATAGAGGCCATTGTTTGACGCTGGTTTTGGCATTCCACTCTGTCAAGTTGCATTAATGACATTCGTGGATGCTTTAGCTTTATGCTACACAGCATAAAATATTAAGGCTTATATTATTTTCAAATTAGTGTTCTGTCAAAAAATGATTTCTGGTCAAGTTACAGTAAATGGGCCATGTCACAGATTTTGGTAAAATTTTCCATACAATTTTAGATCATTAAACTATAGCTGAAAATCGAAACATGGTGCTCTTTTATCATTTGAAATATTACTGATTGAATTCTTTCAAAGTAGGTTAACATTGGTATAAAAAGCACATAAAATCGAAAAAATACCTTCTTGAATTTGTCTTAAAATCATCAAATGTCTAATTTCGAATACACAGATTTTTCTTAAAAATCTATACGTTGTTGATACACACATTTCGGTTTAAATGACGTAAAATAAGATAGGGTCACCGACTTCGTTTTTAAACAAATTTTACACAATTTTACGAAATATTCTGAATAGATGGGTTAGGGGATTTGCAACAACAGAGCCCGCGTAATTTTGAAGCTGCCAATAGGTTTTGTAAAATGTAAGTGAAAGGGAAATAATAGCTATGTTTATGTTTGTTGAATGAACAAAAAATAAAAAAACAAAAATACCGAACTCAAAGGGAAATTCAAAACTGAAAGTCATTTATAAAATGGAAATAACCAAAGCTCATCCACATCTTACGAATGGAAAACAACAAAAATATTATGTAACCATGTTTACATACTTACATTCCATCTATATTTAATATGTACAATGATGTATCTATATATCCACCTACCGAATTTCTAATATTATTCTCCTCTCAGAAATATATAAAAGGAGATTGCACTGATCATACTGAATATTCACAGTCACCAACTCATATCTATTTCTATTTTATCACGTCATTCGGTATTTATTCTCTCTGACGAATGTTCTTGTGTTTATCCCATCCAATCAGAACTTCACAATACGTTAATGTGATTGCTTCAGTGAGAAATTATATTGCATGACTGTCATTGTTAACTAAAAGACAACTGGTCATATGATTTAATTTCTAAATATAACTTTCTGTTTTAAATAAACATAAACACTATGACGTATTTAACATATTAAACATTTATCACAGTGGAGGAACAGGTTATCGGCACATTGTCCGTTTAAAGTAAATATACCAAAGGTGTCAACGAATTGAACGTTTAAAGGTCAGTTTTGTTTCTGCATAATGAATTGCCCGTACCTTGTCAGGAATATGACAGTTGGTTTCAATTTGTTTAATGTGTAAAAAGTAAATTATCAAAACTACCGAACTTCGAGGAAAATTAAAAACGAAAAGTCCATAATCCAATGGCAAAATCAAAAGCTCAAACACATCAAAGGTATGGATATATTCCTGTCATATTCCTGACGTGGTACAGGCATTTTCTAATGTAGAAAATGGTGGATTAAACCTGGTTTTATAGCAAGCTGAACATCTCACTTGTATGACATAGAATACCATAATAATGTGTAAACAACACAAACAGACATACTAGTAATAGGTAAAAAAGTCAAAAATAGGGGTACGGCAGTCAACATTTTGTTTTAATCGTAATCACTATGAAAACAAAGAAATATATAAAAAAAATAAAAATAAATAGGCAAAGAGACAAAGCAAACAAGCAAAAACGAAAGACAAGAACACAAAAATGTACCATAGCACAATAACACAGTGACGGAATGTATATAATTACGAGCCACGTTAAATGGACAACACCAACACATAGACTAAAAAGTTAAAATAATGATTTACGTAGACAAATAAAAGAACACTATAACATGTACATAAGATGAAAAACAACGTCAGTACTTAAAATCTATACCATTCTTTGTGAAGTTGATTCGGAAATTTTTATCAACAAGGTCTTGGTATCTTCCGATGAACTTTTTTAGAAAAAGGACGAGACGTTTTTTGACATAACCCTGGTTCGTCAACTTTCTGCTTAGAAACTGGTGACGTTTAACAAAGTCTGAGTAGCAGCTCGTGAATACCGAATGAGTTGGGAAAAGTATAACCCATATGCAAGTGACGTTGTTTATATTGCTTGTTTGAGCTATTGATTTTGCCATTTGAAAATAGAATTTACGTTTTCAATTTTCATTGGAGTTTGGTATGTTTATTCATTAACTTTTTGAAACAGCTTTAAAGAAATTCCTATGATAATTTCTTATTGATGAAATTTTATATAAGATAAACATTTTCTTTAAATTAAAGTTTTTAGTAGTGTTGTCAACGATTAAACGGTTAACCTGTGGAAGGACCGAATATCGAATGCCGTAAACGCTAACCATTGTTCAAGGATTTTGTCATACTTTCAGCAAAATGCCGACACAAAAAAGGTAAAATGCAAATCATGTGAATAGAATTAATGTTTATTTGGTGGTAAAACGCTAAATCATCTCAAATTGAAACATCTGAGACACCAAAGGAAACAATCAACGGTTTTAGACAATGTCAACTCGGCGAGATCAAAAAGATTTTTATATTCTCAATCTGAACTTATAAACTTCATAGTAGATACGGTGTAATTGAATTATTAAAATGAAACTTCACCAGGCACGCTCAAAACCTAGCTTTATTATGCCCAAGGATAAAGTTTAATTTGTCGTATCATAGAAACGTACATATGTAGGGTACTATCAACAAGGTCTTTCAACATCAATTGAACTACCAGTTAACCGGTTAATCGGTCGAAAGATTATCCGAGTAACTGGTCAGGAAAAACTGTTAGATTTGACAACACTATTTTAGAAAAAAGATGAATAATGAATGATAACAAACGCTTCATTTATTCTTTTAGACGTAATGTACGTCAGAGCAATTACATGATTTGTTTCCCAAGTAATAAAAGCATCTCGAGAGACCAAGCAGTCTGATGATTTAGTACGCCAGACTGGCGTTGCATCTACCCAAGACTCGTTAAACTACTCGAATCAAAACCGTCGTATGGCCAAATCAATTACAAAAATTGAAACGATACATTATCAATTTGTAGCGTCCGAAGCGCTTACCTTGAATTACCGTCATCGGGAATGATCATACCCACAAAATTAAAAGCAAAGAATGTTAGGTCTCTAAAGGTGTAATACCACCAAATCATAGTACATCACATCCGGTTGCCTTCAAAAAAGTGTCGAACAAAAAATATTCCCTTGAATTTGACAGTTGTAGGAAATTATTCCTTCATTTCATTGCAGTAAAAAATTTCTGGGTCATAGACATATATCTTGGGTGTTTCAAAGCACCATTCTTTTCTTATTGGTGTTTCTATAAAATATTTTGGGAATTTGAGGTAACATGGTTACCAAAGCTTGTAAACAGGAAAAAAGGGGTGAACATTTGATTCAATATCTTCCAGTGATGGTTCTTATCTTATATGCAATTAAATGTCATGTGAAATTTTGTCTGTAGTCCGGGACAGGATAAAAATTTACTCATGGCAAGTATTTCTTTTTTTGAAACAAAGATAAATTCTGCACAATTATTTTAAAAGTGCAAATTTAACAAAGATTAATAGGGGAATAAAAGAACAGAGTTCCAATGTCCTGCGCGTTGCACATATTTTATAAATCCACAGGGCATAACTCTTTTTTAAAAAGTCGATCGTGCACAATTATAAAACTTGTCCGAGATATTGCTGATATCAACTATAGTTTAAGTTTTATAAAAATCTGAGAAGAATTGTACCCGTGAGAGCGCTAACGAGGCCATTTTCCATAAATTTACTATTTCCAAGGGGCATAACTCTTTTAGTAAAAGTCGACCGTCTACCAATATATAACTTGTCCCAGATACTTCTGATATTAACTTATAGTAGAAGTTTTATACAAATCTTGCAAGAATTGTACATGTGAAAGCGTTAACAAGACCGGACGGACGAATGGACGCCCGAAATTTCCATGTCCTAAGCAACGCGTGACTCGGGGGACAAAAACAATTATGGTATTACACCTAAACACGTGTAGGGCTAAATAACCAAAATGAGCCAAAAAACAATAATCAAATTTATCTATGGTCAACATTCCCTGTCAACTCACCCGGTCATTATCCGTTTGGAATTGATATATTTCTCAACAGTTAAAAGGTATTAACCGTACTCCAAGGAAAATTCAAAAAGCGGGAAGTCCATAAACCTGTCAAAATCAAACGTTCGACTATATCAACCAAAGAAACGAATGGAAAACCACTCTTATATTTCTGACTTGGCACAGACATTTTCCAAGGAACGTGGTGGGTTAAACCTGGTTTTATTGCTAATTAAACATTATACGTGTAAGACAGTTATATATAGTTTATTTATTAAATACAGAAAAGTTTACATTAAGTCATTTAGGGATATGTCCACACTGAATAAACTTCAGAAGTCTTATTGATTCTATTGATTTAAATCCGAATTCTTCCAATGTCGTGTTATTGAACTCTTTTAATATTATTCCATCTACGAGTGCTCCTGCAAAGGAGTCCACATACTCATGAAGATTGAGACGTTCCAAGATTTTCCCAATATCTGTAATGCTCATGTCTGTTATTTGTTTACTATGATCAGCGGCTTGAGTGGTTTCCTCTGGAATTGTAATAATAAGATTTTTAATATAAATTTGAATATATTTCAAAAGTGATAGTTCAAGACCTTTTGTACTAAAAACATAAAAAACACGAAAGATTCAAAAGGGACATTTAAACTCATGAGTCGAACACAATTTGCCAACACCATGGCAAAATAAAAAATACGAAGAAAAAAAGTATACTAAACATTACAAAGAAAATTAAAGACTGACAAACATGAACTCAATTTAGAACCGGTGGGATCTAAGGTGCGCTAGCAGGGCGAGCAGATTATGATAGACATTTGGTGACTGTCGTGCTGCTCATGTTAGTACATATTCGGTGATCAATCTCAGTTGGGGATGAAGCACATTGGCATAATGAGGATTGACTTAAGGATGTTTGCTCCTTTTGTTTTTTAATTTTTTAATATTCGGAATCCTCTGGTTTTATCCATATAGTGCGATTAAAAACATTTCCCCGCTAACCCCTACTTTTCTTTTCATAATTTTATTACATATAGTTTAAAAAAGCCATATTTGAAAATCCTACAAAATCCTTGATATTTTTCATATTTTTTTAAAGAAAAAGTGTGCCAATGTTAAATGTATCAAAAATGTCTAGAGACAATTATTTCCCCAAATTTTCAATGGCTTTTATTTCGAAAACAAGCACACGGACCTTTCATTTTTTTTTCTGCTTTTTTAGTTCCTTTATTTATATACTATCGATATATAACAGTCTTTTAAAAAGCTTGTTATTATGATCAGAGTAGCGAACATCCTTAAGGAAAACATGAGGTATTCGGATCAATCTTTTTATCGATCTAAACGGAAGAGTTGTCTTAAAAAACCTCAAAAGGTCAATGCGATTTATGTGATAAATACTTGCCATTAGTTGTGCGATAGGTGCCACTAGAGAAGCAAGATTTCTTACCCTTCAGCATATTCAGTTGGCATTTGACATAACCTTCGATTATTCGTGGGGTTTCGTGTAACGCAGTACTTGATTTCTGTATTGTGTTTGATGCACCATTGATTGTCTTTTTTTTGTCATGTTCGTTTTTGTTCTTTAGTTTTTGATTGTCCCCCTGGTATCTTCTGTCTCTTTATCAAAAGTGAATTTTAACTAAAATTGGCAAAAAAAAAAAATTACACGATGTTACAACTTCGTATAAAAAAGAATATGGTATATAAATTGACTATGAAAATATGGGTATGTTAACAGTAATATTTAAATGTTAATGACTATCTGGTAGAATTATCGTTTTTACCAAGAAAACGTTCATGTAGTCAGGCTTTCAAGTTGTTTCACGTTTCCTTGTTTGGAAAAATATTGTAAAAATATAAGAACTCCAATCAGAATGATACATGTAAACTGACAGGTGTTGCTTGAAGTCATTGAATATATACCAATGAACACTACAAATA